AGAGAGAGAGAGAGAGAGAGAGAGAGAGAGAGAGAGATTGAGAGAGAGAGAGCGCGTCAATAGTTAACGTTAGTCACGTTAACGCTAATCTCGCTAGTGAACCATAACGATCATGGAAATGGGATGCTGCGCGGACCGGGCGCGCGCGGTGATGGGCGGCGAAGCGCTGTAACCCGCTGATGACGGATGCTGCGGAGTAATGAAGCCATTCGAGGCTTCAGTCACGCTACGTGTCCGCACGATGCGACCCCCACAGTGAAGATGCCGCTGAAACGTCGGGTGCGGAAACGCGATGGCAGGGGCGCCATTGTCCGCTGTCAATGTGAACTGGCGCTGATTGTTTATTACTAGGTTGAAGGGCATGTAGGATGATTAAGGGAAGATTAAGTAGGTCAGCATTACGATTGATTAAGAGGAGTAGCGTTCGTGCATGTTTTGCATGAGAGAGTGCGTGTGTGCGCGTTGGTGCGTGCGTGCGTGCGTACGTGCGTGTGTGTGTACGTGAGGGTGTGTGTGTGCGTACGTGTGTTTGTGCTTGGAGTAATCATTTTGATCATCTGAATCAGAATGATTACTCCAAGGTTTGTGTGTGCACGCGCGCGCGTGTGAGTGTGCACGCGTAGGTTAGTATTCATACGCGAGATTGTTTCTGCGTGTTCACACATAATATAAACTCGGCACGTGGACACTTAGAGTACGTATGCTAACTACAAACGCACGATGCATTTACCAGCACCGAGTTTTACGAGTCCGGATCACACGCAATGTGGAAAAATCGACTTATTACCTTTCAACGTAACCTCGTAAACCTACGCATCGCTAATGGCCTAATGCACCTGTGGCAAGAACCTCCAAACGAATTACACCAAACACGCGAACACGCGTCCAGCGAAACACGCAAACATAGTTCGACAACGCGTGCGCGTGAATTTTCGAGCAGTTCGAACAAATGCGCGAACAATTTAACAAAACAGAACAATTTGCGAACGGTTGAAGAGACGTCGTCATCCTCCCAGAGAAGGTGTTTACCTAACCGAAGTATATTGCTGCTATCCCGCGCAGTGGGCGGCGTGCGCGGCGGGAGGTGGTACGTAACACCGCGAGCGAAGAGAAAGATTTCTACATCCGTAACTGCTTTTTTTCCAGAAGGAAACACGCGAAATTGCGGAAATGCGTGGCTGAGTGGAGGCGCGGAGATAGATAGTCGATCGCAGACCATGAAGGACTGAGCCCTTAAGCTTTATAGCAGTAAAACTCCACGCCTCATCGTGATTGATTTCTAATGTAATCTCGGCTGTGAAATGAGACGCTGGCAGGTACTATTAGTAAAGTCATCAACCTCTCGGCGCACGGAGTCGATAAATTGATTGATGCCCCGTAGCAAACGCCAATCTGAAAAAAAAACCGCAGAGCGTTCCTATAATCGTACACACACGCGCACATACATACGCACGCACGCATGATGATCACAGTGGTGTCGGTGTTTCGCCATGTCTATCGCGCGAGTATACGTTTTGTTGTTGTTGTTGTTGTTGTTGTTGTTGTTGTTGTTGTTGTTGTTGTTGTTGTTGTTGTTGTTGTTGTTGTTGTTGTTGATGAACACGGTGGTGTCGGTGTTTCGCCGTGTTTACGTTTCTATTGCGCGAGTATACGTTTGGTTGTCGTTGTTTGATGTTGTTTGATGTGTATAGGTGGTGCCAGTGTTTCGCTATGTTTACGTTTTTATTGAGTTGCGTTGAGGATAAGTTGGAGATGGCTTATGAGAGATATATGTCGGTTGTTGTATAACATTGAGGAGATTATTAAAGACTCGTTTATAGATTCCGTAGTAAATTTTAGAGCCTTGTCAGTCTAGAGTACGAAACAAACTTACCACCGTAGAGTCAGAATTGACAGCGTTAGCGGTAATATTGACGTTAACCCTAACCTGAAACCTAACCCCGACCCTAAACCTAACGCTGGCCCTAAAGCAGACCCTAAACTTAACCCCGACCCTAAACCTAACGCTGACCCTAATCCACGCCCTAAACCTAATGCTGACCCTAACTCAAACCCTAACCCTAACTCTAAACACAACCCTAAACATAGACCTAATCCTAACCCTAATCCTAGCCTTACCCTAACCCTAACCTTGATCTTAACCATGACTCCAACCCCGGTTATAGCCCTACCTCTAATTCTAACCCATACCATAACACTAATTTCAACCCTATACTTAACCTTGATCTTAACCATGACTCCAACCCCGGTTATAGCCCTACCTCTAATTCTAACCCATACCATAACACTAATTTCAACCCTATACTTAACCATAACCCCAACACTAACCCTAACCCTAAGCCAACCCCAAGCCCAACCGCAACCCCAAACCGCAACCACAACCCCAACCCCTACTCCAACCGGTACTCCTACACATACCCCATCCCTAACAATAACAGTAACCCTAACCTATCCCAAACCCACACCCTAATCCTTACACTAACCCTAACTCCAACAATAGTCATTACAGCAAACGCAATCGCTGGAATTTCTAACGCTAAACTGTACGCCAACCCGTTCTGCAAACGATGCGTTGGGAAAGTCAATCCAAAGTTACACCTCCGCACGAGAATCTAGGTGTACGTGTACTAGCAGCGCCAACGCTAACGCGACAGCGCTAACAACACACACGCGCCCAATACAAATACGTAAAATTTTCCCATTTTCTCACAAATTTTCCCAAAAGATATTTTCAAAACTCATTTCGTCACTAAACTATTCGGCGTCACGTCTATACGCTGCAAGCGAGTAGGCTTCCCGCGGTGACCGTCGGTGCAGTGAGTGCGCTAGAGAATTATAGCTATCGCTCCCACGTGCGTGATGCGAGTCAGTCCACTAATACAGCTTTTTCCTTGACTCTCGTTACATTTATCCTGTCATGCGTGCTAACATGAACATAGCCATAGAATATATCTATATCTACATATATATGCATATGCATATATATGTAGATATAGATATATTCTATGGCTATGTTCATGTTAGCACGCATGACAGGATAAATGTAACGAGAGTCAAGGAAAAAGCTGTATTAGTGGACTGACTCGCATCACGCACGTGGGAGCGATAGCTATAATTCTCTAGCGCACTCACTGCACCGACGGTCACCGCGGGAAGCCTACTCGCTTGCAGCGTATAGACGTGACGCCGAATAGTTTAGTGACGAAATGAGTTTTGAAAATATCTTTTGGGAAAATTTGTGAGAAAATGGGAAAATTTTACGTATTTGTATTGGGCGCGTGTGTGTTGTTAGCGCTGTCGCGTTAGCGTTGGCGCTGCTAGTACACGTACACCTAGATTCTCGTGCGGAGGTGTAACTTTGGATTGACTTTCCCAACGCATCGTTTGCAGAACGGGTTGGCGTACAGTTTAGCGTTAGAAATTCCAGCGATTGCGTTTGCTGTAATGACTATTGTTGGAGTTAGGGTTAGTGTAAGGATTAGGGTGTGGGTTTGGGATAGGTTAGGGTTACTGTTATTGTTAGGGATGGGGTATGTGTAGGAGTACCGGTTGGAGTAGGGGTTGGGGTTGTGGTTGCGGTTTGGGGTTGCGGTTGGGCTTGGGGTTGGCTTAGG